CCCAGGTTGAAGTTGCACATTAAGAATTAAACCAGAAATAACTTTAGATAAATAAATCTGAAATTTATAGAAAATTTAGTGGGTCTATATGACATAGATTTAGAAATTAAAGCAAAATATTTATATAAAAGTAGGGTATTATTGTTGATGATGTGTTAAAAACATGTTTTTAAGGATTTGGAATCAGCAGTAAAAGGTGTCCTACACCACAAAAGGTTAAAGGGGTTGTATGATGATATTAGCATATGAAAATCAAAGTTAATTTGAGGCACATCCCCTTTACGTCGAATTGCCGCTACGGGAAAACGAAAAGGGAATTTGAGTCTCAAAACTTCAGGTTTTTCTATTCACAAGGCCGGAGGGTGCAAAAAATTAAAAATCTATGACCTAAATGTTGTAATGCATTTGTTGAGAGGCCCCCTTAACCTCAAACTGCCGCTACAGGAAAACAAATGAATTGGCAAGTCTCAAAATTTCAGGTTTTCAGTTCACATAGATATCTATATCACTGAGACAGTGTCCAAAACAAAATTTAGAAATCTATGACCCTGGTGTAATGTTTGTTGAGTTGGCATAGAATGACTCAACTCTTAAAAACTTTCGTGATTTCCGATTATGTTATTGTGTAGTTTTCAACATAGTATCTAACCATGAAGGATCTGAGTACCAAACCTGAAATTTGGTTTATAGGTAGATATAATATATCTGATTAACTGGGGTAAATTTAAGAAAAGATTTTAACTTTCCACAAGACGATCTGTTGTTGAGAAACAGGCATTTTTCACTTTTATAGACCTTGAAAATCACAAAAAAATTTGCATCGTTAAACAAAGCGGCTAATTTGAGTGCAGATAACTTCAAAAGGGAAGGGATAACTGTTAATCTAAGGCGATATTTGTGAAATATGGCGACAACTATGTTAGAATACCAAGTTTGACTCTGATAGCTATTACCAATCTCGAGTTATAAGCTTCCAAAGTTGAGGTAAGTTGCGTTTGCACATCTTGAAGAACCACGCCCCATATTTTTGAGGAGTCAATATCTCGAAAACTACATATCCTATGAGGCTAATTTTTTTTTTTTTGGTTGGTTTTTCATACAGTGGATCATTTTTATGAAGTTTCATCAAAATCTGAGACGGTCATACAGGAATTTCTTTTTAATCTGGTTGATTTGACATGAAATGACCCTACAATAGGTCAAAGGTCAGAATGTACCGTTTCCGGTCACTATTTGAATATTTTTTTCATTACGACGAATATAAACATGAATCTCCTGAACAATTTGCAATCAATTGTGAGTCTCTATGACCAGTAGTTACTAAGATATGACATTACAAGGTCAAAGGTCAAACTTTCAAAAACCGCATTTCCCGCCATTTTTTGATAAAAAGTTGTATTACAACAAATAGGAACATGCATATTGTGAACAATTTGAGACCAAAATCAAGTCTCTCTGACCAGTGGCTATCGAGATACAAACGTCCAAATCAACAGGCGGCCATTTTGAAAAACGCCCCCAAACGGGACTTTCCCCCAATATCTGGGAGGTATATAGGAGCTATATTTTATCTAAATTGGTCCATCTTGCCAAATTCATCGAGAAACAAAGGTATCCTAAAATTAGTCACGGATCTCATGAAAATGACTCTACTATCCTATGCTATTTTTGGCGTGTCGCATGTCCTCGATCCCAGAGAAATGAAAAATGTCGAGCGCCCAAACCAAACTTTTGTGATGACGTCGTGCCAAAGTAAATAAACTACGGAGCACGCGATTGGTCAAATAGCTTAGGCAACAAACCTCTCATTAATATTCATTTTAAAGTCTTGCTGGTTACGTCATTCAGCTGGCTGCAGCTTTGTTTTGATTTCTACGATCGGACTACGAACGATAGCGACAAATAAACAGTGCCAAAAATGCTATACTATTTTGTAATAAATTGCACTATTTTGGAAACGGGGGATCGTTTTCTGGTTAAGGGGGTTCGCTGGCAAAAGGGGGGTTCGCTGAAAAAGGGGGGTTCGCCCGAACCCCTAAAAACCCCCCTGGCTACGGGCCTGCTAGTTAAATCAGTTTTTTTGCTGCATAAACACAATTTTCCTTATTTGTCGAATTCTAAATAATTTTGAAATCGGCAATTCTGGCTGGGCCTCTGGGGACAGGTGGCAGCCACAGTGCAGCGCCAGTACCCCCGACATTATTGTCAATTATCCCACCTAACTCTAATGTGAGGAGCAGAAGCGGGGCCTACAGTACAAGAAGCAGGAACATTACCTTTCGACCAAACACTCACCTCAATGTAAACAAATATGTCAGAGCGTATCTGTCAGTTGGTGGACGACGAGAGTTGCTGGTACCGGGTTACCGGGTAGCACTGACACGAAGGGACCCTTAGGGGCGAAGAAAGTCATTGATCGAGTCACTAGTCCACATTTCAAGCGCCCTGAGCATCTTACATTAGATGGATTGGTGCGCTATATAAAACTACACTATTATTATTATTATTATTATTATTAAAAAACGTGCCTAGGGGTCAGATTTGTGCCTACATCATATAGGTCTTTATAGTCTAGAGGTATATACTCGACTTCATAACGAGTTGCTCAGGTTTGAAACCAGCTAAGACACTTTTTAAAATAAAAATAAAAAATAATAACAAAGGAACGTTTTGTTGGAGGGCAAGGATTTTTTTTTCCAAAATTAAATTATTTATTGCTACATAAACCAGTGATGTCTGACCACAAGCGGTCCAACCTGTCAGACATCGGGGTCCGAACCGCGGGGCCGGCTAGAGCTTCGATCAGGGTCCCAGAATATAAATTCTTTGTAGGGTCCATGAGGAGAGTTTTTATGGCTTAGTATGGCCCAAAGCTTTGCTTTTAGACCACGATATTAGGAATTGGCAATCAAAATAACGTTTTGGATAGCCAAATTATTATTTTCCCTTCTGACGATCTTGTCGTATCGTCGGACGATTATCTGATATCTAAAAAAAAAATAATCATGTAAAATAAAAATTGTATTTTAAATACTTAATACGATTATAACATCTTTCTATATGGGCACTGTTAATAATATTTATCTACCTGTTTATCGCACTATATATATACTGTCTCTTATACACATCTTAAGTTGCGTTTGCACATCTTGAAG